TGCCATGCAGATTGTTTAATTCGGCTCTGTAAGGATTTGTGTTTTCATTCTATTAAGTTGAAAGTGCAAACCAATTCTAGAATCTCTCTATGAAGTTGTTTGAAAACTTGTTCTTTTTGTGCGATCATGACACTCTATCTACTTTATGCATTAGTGTCTCCTTTAAACGTTGTGTATCATGGGTGATTTTGTCCTGTTTCCCTTCCTGATGTGCAGTATGGTATCTGTTTCGCAGAGATACTGTTATGAACTAATGAATGAAAAGAGTTTTTAAATTCCCGTTACTATGGGCGTCTCTCTTTTTTTTTTTTTTTTCCTTTTTTGCCTTTCTAGTATCCTAATATTTGTTATTATTGCATTGCTCAGGCACTGATATGAATAGAGAAGTGTTAGGGAACTCCATGACTGTAAGAGCAAAGCCAGCAGGTCAAGTGGTTTTAAAAAATAATGGTCATCGGGAGGATGAAAGAGAGTCCAAGCTTGAACCCTATGCGGGCTTAGAGTTTGATTCGGCAGAGGATGCACAGGAGTTTTACAACATATATGCAGCCCAGGCAGGATTCAGGATTAGGATTGGTCAGCTGTACCGATCAAGAGTTGATGGGTCAGTTGTTTCCCGAAGATTCGTCTGCTCAAAGGAGGGTTTTCAGACTAATTCAAGAACAGGTTGTTCAGCTTTTGTAAAGGTCCAAAAAGCTGATTCTGGGAAGTGGGTNCCGAAGATTCGTCTGCTCAAAGGAGGGTTTTCAGACTAATTCAAGAACAGGTTGTTCAGCTTTTGTAAAGGTCCAAAAAGCTGATTCTGGGAAGTGGGTGATAGCTAATATCAAGAAGGAACATAATCATGAGCTTGAAGTCCCTGGTGAAATTTGTCCAACCCATATACAAGGGAAAGCCCCTCCAACTCCTAGATTATCGGTTGAGGTGTCCTCTAGGACAGGAATTAGATCACTTGAGGAGGATGGCCCATCTGGTGTCATTGATGCGAAACGTCTTAAAAGGGAAGAGGTGGATGTAGAACCCAGAGGTGAACCACAAAAAGGTCTTGAATTTAGTTCTGCTAATGAGGCATACGAATTTTACCACACATATGCAGCTGGGACAGGTTTCAAAGTTCGAATCGGTCAATTGTTTCGGTCAAAAAATGACGGGTCAATAACATCCCGAAGATTTGTGTGCTCGAAGGAAGGGCATCAACACCCTTCAAGAGTTGGCTGTGGAGCATATATGAGGATACAAAGACAAGGATCAGGAAGGTGGGTAGTTGATCGTCTGCAAAAAGAACACAATCACGAACTTGACTCTCCAGTGGATACATGTAGGAGAACCGCTGCTACTCCCAAGGGGTTCAAAGAGGAAGTAAGCAGTGGATTGGAAAATGTGGATTTAGTTGAAACAAATGGCAGTCTCAGCCTTGTCAAAAGAGGCCCAGAAAGAAATATTGGTAGTAATCGGTATAATGTGCTTTTTGAGTATTTTCAGTCCAGGCAAGCAGAAGATATGGGATTCTTTTATGCGGTGGAAGTGGGGGATGGCAAATGCACAAGTGTTTTCTGGGCTGATAGCCGGTCTCGATTTTCTTGCACTCAGTTTGGCGATGCCATTGTTTTTGATACAGCATACAGAAGAGGTAGTCACTTGGTGCCATTGGCTTCATTTATTGGTGTTAACCACCACAGGCAACCAGTCCTTCTTGGGTGTGCTTTAATTGGAGATGAATCTGAGGTGTCCTTTACTTGGGTGTTCCAAGCATGGCTTAGGGCAATGTCAGGGCATCGTCCTCTGTCAATAATTGCTGATCAAGACAAGGCCATTCAACATGCAATTGCACAAGTTTTTCCTGGGGCACATCATCGCTTTTCTGCATGGCAAATTATGGCAAAGGAACAGGAAAATTTGGGTTCACTGCTATCCATGAATGCTGAATTCAAGTGTGAATATGAAACTTGCATTTCACAGAGCCAGACAGCTAATGAATTTGATTCTGCATGGGATGTGCTTGTCAACAAATACAACTTGAATGAGAATGCTTGGTTGAAGGAAATGTACAGAATGCGTAAAAGTTGGGTCCCATTCCATATAAGGGGCACATTTTTCGCAGGCATTTGTATAGATGGAAGCATGAAATCATATTTTGGTATGCTTTTGACTGCTCAAACACCCTTTGATGAATTTATCATACGATATGAGAAAGCTGTTGAGCAACGACGTGAGGAGGAAAGAAAAGAGGATTTTAACTCTTTTAACTTGCAAGCAGTGTTGCACACAAAAGACCCCATTGAAGAACAGTGTAGAAGGCTTTACACAATCACAATGTTCAAAGTTTTTCAGAAAGAGCTTTTGGATTGCTACAGCTATGTCGGAATAAAACTAAACGTTGAAGGTGCTATTAGTAGATTTTTGGTGCAGAAGTGTGGCAATGGTGATGAGCGGAACACTGTTGCATTTAATGCATCAAATCTTAATGTTAGTTGCAGTTGTAAAATGTACGAGTTTGAAGGGGTGTTATGCAGACACGCGTTGAAGGTGTTCCAAATAATGAACATAAGGGAACTTCCATCACGCTTCATCTTACACCGGTGGACAAAAAATGCAAAGTATGGTATGCTAAGAGATGCCGACTCAGGAGGTGGCTGTCAAGATTTTAAGGCCTTGATGCTGTGGAGTTTAAGAGAAGAAGCCCATAACTACATTGAGGCAGGGGTCGCATCTCTCGAAAGACACAAACTTGCCTTTGAGATCTTGCAGGAGGGTAGAAGAAATCTTTGTTGGCAAAGCTAAAGAAATATCTTGAACATAGGTCAGAGACCTTTTCATCCTCTGGGTTTCATTTTATTTCTTGACTCACAGGTTAGACATCTCTCTAGTTCTAATTTTCAAAAATTGTAGTTGTGTATAGGGCTAGTTTTTTCGGTGGGTTTCAGCCATGTATCTAGAGAGATTACATAATGCAAATCATAACTATTGTATGCATTTGTACTTTACTTTGCTCTATGTTTCATATTTCTAGGTTGCAATTCTCTGCTGACCCACCCCCTTTTATGCATGCGAAGGAGCGAGAATCACCTTCTAGATCTAGACTAGTTGAAAAACATGTACCTTTGACATCATATTTTTTGTCCAAAATTCTCTCTCTCTCTCTCCCATCTCTTTTTCTCTCTAAAATCATGTTTATCAATGATATCCTTGACGGGAGGACTTGATGTAATGAGGTAGTTACTCTATTATTACATAAGCATGACGAAAATAGTTTCTCTGCACACAAAATAAGTCGCATAAGTCTGACAGATCCCGTAATTAGAAGAATTTCGTGCAATGAACTCTTTTATGAAAGAATATCATTGTGGCTATTTTCCAAGGGCCGTTTGTGTACTCTATGCATCTAAATTGATAATTACTTCTGCTGATATTTTCACTTTTTCAGCATTCGTCTAGACTGACTGCTAATTACTTTTGTTGACATTTTTCGGCATTGGTTTCTAGACGAATGGCATTTTCACTTCTCAACATTACATTTTTTTTTTTTTTTGGGGGGGGGGGGTACAACTAAGACAGATTAACCCCAACCCAACCGAAACCCAATCCCAATCCCAAAAAAAAAAAGACTTGCATTGAAATTTCTAAAACTTCATTTGGGCTTGGGTTGAAAATTTTCAGCCTAAATTAAATTTGGAGCATATTGAACCAGCTTTGGGTTCACAAATTCAACCCAAATTACTAATATAAGACTTAATTCAAGTTTAACCCGACATTAAAATATTAAAAACTCAAAATTTAAGTTTATTTTATGTTTTTATTAAATTTATTTTAAATTTAAATTGATCAAATTATTGTGTTATACCCAAAATTATGCACGAAAATGAATCCAAATTAAACTCGAATTAGTTAACCCAAATTGAGCCTCAAAGCAATTTGGGCAATTCTCAAGTTGAAAGTCGGGTTCAGGTTGGGTTAGAATTAAAAATTTTACAACTTTGATTGAACCTAAATTGATCATCTAACTTATTCAACCCACCCAATGCAACTGGGGGAGAGAGGTTGGCCAAATATACATCATTTTACAAAAAGGCAAATATACCTCATTTCACAAAAGGAAAATATTATTTGGAGACTTAATGATGTACAATCATTGAATTGGTTGTAGATTCCATCTAACATTGGAACTCACAACTAATCTAATAATTACATTGAAACCACATAATTAAGTTCCTAAATAAAATCCCTATAACATTGCTATTTACAAAAACCTTAAAACATCCGATATTGAAAGATAGCCTTCCAACAAAGTCATCCAGCACAGACTAAACACATATAAAGCCAACGAGACAGACAGTACCTTAACATAGCATGTTATCCAAAATTAACAGCCCCACAACCAAGCAAAAAAGCTCCACCCCACAAACAGAGGCTATGTCTCAGGAAGGGAAGGGCCACGAGCAGATTCTCCCTTCTGGCACACTCTCAACCACCGGAGACGGATATCAGAATCTGCAAGACACACAAACATCTCCCTATACTCTGGCTTTCTGAAAAGTCTCTTACCAAATTGGAACAGAGAATCATCATCACCGGTGACACCCGGAATGTTAGACAACAACTCGACGACCTCTGCATAGCTACAGTCCGGAGTATCACACCTCCCGAATGCCTGAGTTTCCACAGCATCAGCAATGCAAGCAAGTGTTTTAATCCACTTGTTTGACCCCTGGCTCGAACTAGCAAAAAACAAAAAAGAAAGAGAAGAATAAGAAAAATTATATGGACTGAAAATGACACGAATATCTTCAAAAACCTCAGATACAAGAATTTGAAATTTTCTTCCAATATACCAATCCATGCAAAAACAGAAATGATATGTTTCCCAAATTTTACTTCCCAACCAATGTGTCTTGTCGATAATCATCAGATATTGTTAGGCCCCTTTATTTTTATGGTGGTCAGTGTACCGGGTCAGTTGGGAAGCCAAATTTAGTAAACGTAGAACAGTTGTTTGCAAAACCACAACCCAAACCACCACTCTGACAACCATTTTTCAACCAATCCATTTCCTGAACAACATCCACAATCAAAATTCCAAATAACTCCATGGCAAAATCTCAATCCAGAAAGAACAAAGTAAGATAAATTTTTTCAGACTCTTTATTTCTTTGTAAGTCAATTACACAGTTTTTCCACATAATTGAACTGAAATAAACTTAGGAAGGCTCTAAAAGGTGTTAATTATACCTCCAGTTGTTTGTGTGGTCGCCTTTCTGTGTATAAACAATAGAGACTGGTACACTAACCATTGTAATGTAACTTTAGACAATTGAAAATAATTAAGTGATCAACATAAATAAATTTACTTCATTGCAAAACATAGATTAAGATTTAAAAATGTCCCCTTAAATCAATCACAAGGACATCAGCAATTAACGTAAAAACCGAACAATGGGAAAGAGATTGAGATTAATCATCCATTACATACTTTTTTTTTTTTTTATCTTTTAATCCCCTTTTATTCTGCTTTAGTCTTGGACACATGAACACAAATCAATTGTCTTCCAGGTTTCAATGCAACTGTTAAGACACCTTTTGAATTGAGTCCTCATGTATTTTACACCAATCTGGACCATCAAAATAATTAATAACTTGATACTCGGAAACCCTGTGAAGATCAAGTGTATTACAGATTTATCGTTGAACAGACTATTGCACTTGATGATCCTTCCACATGTACAAGCAAGCTTATAAAACACAATACATTTGGCATACAGTATTCCCTAAAACACACTGATGGTTCTGTATTTATGGATTTTAATAAATCGTGTCTCCGGTGCACTTTGTTTTTGCTAAACATGTACACTTGAATCCACAACCATCGCTTGTAGCTTTTCAAGTTAATAACATAGCTTTGCCAACTTGTATATCGGGAATGAAACTTCACCTAGGGGTCGAATCAGCTACTTTCCATATTTAAGAATAAGAAAATGATGTTAAATATCACACCCATGCCTTGACACCAGGACTATAAAAGAAATTNAGGAATGAAACTTCACCTTGGGGTCGAATCAGCCACTTTCCATATTTAAGAATAAGAAAATGATGTTAAATATCACACCCATGCCTTGACANGGGAATGAAACTTCACCTAGGGGTCGAATCAGCTACTTTCCATATTTAAGAATAAGAAAATGATGTTAAATATCACACCCATGCCTTGACACCAGGACTATAAAAGAAATTTCTGCTCATATGTAGAATGGGAGCGAGGTGCAGTTGCAATAACTCGTTTAAAAGAGGAACCAACAACATTTTACCCCAATTTTTGGTATTGAAAACAGAACTCAAGGTCTAGGAAATCTCTACCAGGCCCCCATAGCAAGTTGGTTACAATTGCATAACCCGGCCACTACACCTCAAGGACCTTGAAGCCAGGCCTATTACTACCTAAAGAGGGGTGATTGCAAATGGCCTGCTTGAATATGTTCAAAGAATTCAATATTCAAAGACGCCCCCAAAGTTAAATCAAAAACAAATTTAGGGCGGAAAACACTAATTTTTCTTGGCTTAATTGCTCTCCTGTTTTCCTTTAACAGATTTTCCTCATCACAAACAGTTATCATTCTCATGTACATTGTTCTTACTTAAACTTATCATGATCTATTCTGCACGGCATACAATACTATACATAAAAATCACCCAACCTGATCCTAGATAGGAGTTTAAAGACCATTAAAACATAGTAATATAGCATTCTTGCACAAATTAATGGGCAAACGGTATGGCAAGCTCAATTATTTCCATTACACAAATTAATATAAATGTTGTTAAAAGACATCCACATAGATGAAGGAAATTACCTGCAGGATTGTGCATACACACATTTCCTATATAAAGCACAATTGTGACAGGTTTCCTTCAAAGTCACACTAAGATAGACTTGAAATAGCTTAAAATTGTGTCCAATCTGCCTCACTGTATAGGTGGTTGTCTTTCTTGTTTACAACCATTAAAGAGTTTTATATGAACCATTCTAACATACATAGCCATTCTAACTTATCCTTAAGCACTTCAATAGAGTTAAGCAAAAACCACAACCAGGTTAGATAACATATCACATCATTGCATATTAACCAACCGATAACTAGGTTCCCTTTACAATAAAATGAAAACAACAGAAGGAACAGGAGTAAACTGAAAATGGAACAATAAAAGAGATAAATTTTGTACCTATATATGTTTGATCTTTTGACACCCTTAGAGTTACTGCTACAATTCGGTGAGACGATTGTCTCCACATAAATCCCTGCTTCAAATTTAGCTGGAATGCCATGAACCATGAGGTCCTTGAATGTTTCCTTTTCTGGATTAAACAGAACAAGTTCCTTCCTTCCCGCCTTTAATAGAACTTCACCATTCCTGCACAAACACAATGTTTTTGGCACAGACATATCCAAGACATTGATAGAGAATTTGGTCCATGACTCCCTCACACCATACTCCTTCATCATCCAAACATCATAATTATACTCCATCAATATCCACTCATCATCATAAGATCTGCGATGAACAAGTCCACAAAGACAACCTCCAAGAACACACAACTCATATAACATGACAATGCCATCGGTGGTACTAGGAGGTGGCACTTCCCGAAATTTCTCATCCACCATATTCAGCGAAGCTATCAAAGGCACATCTGCATTTTCATCACGACCCGCTAACCAATGAAGGGCTCCATTTACAAAAACACCCGGCGGAGTTTTCTCTTTAAGAAATTTGTGGTCATACGGAGAGTCTTCAATCCTTCTCCACAAATCAGTTTTTAGCGAATACACACTGACACTAGTACCAGAATAATCATAATAAAAACGACAATAAGAAATTCTCACAACTTTGTAATCATCATTGTGCGAATCATAACCAAGCCCATAAACATCAGACCCATATTCGACAAAGAAAGGTGATTTGTATAATTTCTTCGATTCTCTAGTTGATGGATTAACCACTAAATGATCATTATGACCATTAACAAGCAATAACAATCCATTACAAGAACCCAAGATTACTTCACGATGTCTAGGGTTTCTATTGCGTGGGAACTTCAATTGTTTCGCTGATACATCGTTACCTTCGAGAATTGCTTCGTGATCGACGGTGTAGTATCGATCGTCGGACAAGAGAATGATTTGTTGGTGGTGGTCTTTGTTTCGATTAAGATGAAATTTTATGAATTGTGGGTCGGAGATTTGAGTTCGCCAAGGCTTAGAGACGCACTTGAACCGGCAAAGAGATTTGACCGGAAGTCTTGAGAGTATATCGGCTATGATATCACCGGGCAGGTTTGGGTCTGCCATCGTCGTTGGTAGCCCTCTAGGTGGTGTCCTTTGGGCTGCGAAACCTCCCTTTTTGTAATCATTCCCTGGCGGGTACTTTCGTGGAGCTTTTGGCGCCTATGCTTGATTACAAAATGGCTAATAGCAATTCGTCTCATTTTGAATGATACGACCTGATCGTTACGTTAAAAATTTTGTAATTCATTTATATAGAAATTAAAATAACATAAATTAAATATTTTAAGAATAAATTTGATACATTGAAAATTAAATTAATAAAAAATACATACTTTAAAAATTAAAAATGCTATTAATATATTAAAAAATATGGGATTCAAATTGTATTATCAAAAAACTAGCAATAATTTATACCTGAAGATAATTTATAATACTAAAAATTGAATATTAATCGTATAATATTTATATTTTNCATTATCGAAAAACTAGCAATAACTTGTATCTGAAGATAATTTATAATACTAAAAATTGAATATTAATCGTATAATATTTATATTTTTAATAATAATTTATTTATATTTTTTTATTTGATTAAATAATTTTAAATTAAACTAAACTAAAAATGAGAAAGTAAGAGAGTCGAGTAGGACAGATTGAGTCCGACTCAGTTGGGTTATTTGACATTGAAGAGTTTGTGATTATGTTAATTTTTTTGGAGGGAAAAAAATTTCGAATGAATGTTGTATCATTGGATCAACTAGGGGTGTCAATTTGACATGTCAACAACTACACCACGATACGAAACTGACACGGGACAATTTTAAAATTGATACAATTAATAAATACACATAACAAATGAGCTTCAATTAATATTTGTTACTTATAACACATTAAATTGATTTTTTTTGGGTAAAAATTTAANTAAACTAAAAATGAGAAAGTAAGAGAGTCGAGTAGGACAGATCGAGTCCGACTCAGTTGGGTTATTTGACATTGAAGAGTTTGTAATTATGTTAATTTTTTTGGAGGGAAAAAAATTTCGAATGAATGTTGTATCATTGGATCAATTAGAGGTGTCAATTTGACATGTCAACAAGTACACCACGATACGAAACTGACACGGGACAATTTTAAAATTGATACAATTAATAAATACACATAACAAATGAGCTTGAATTAATATTTGTTACTTATAACACATTAAATTGATTTTTTTTGGGTAAAAATTTAACACAAATTACAATGACACAACCCAAAAATAGCAACATTACAATGAGTCTTTAATATACTTCTCTCTATTCTAATCAAGAGTATTATTAAATGAAAAATGTATAAACATCGTCTTAAAATGTGCGGAATTAAATTAGATTCTTTATTTTAAAGAGTCTAGTCTAGTCTAAATAGAGCTCATATTGAAATTTAATTATTGGTAATTCGCCCTTCTCATTGATGATGTGTGTATGTACGAGGAGAAATACCCACAAGAAGATTGGATATGAACAATAGGGTGTCAGNACTCTCTATTCTAATCAAGAGTATTATTAAATGAAAAATGTATAGACACCGTCTTAAAATGTGCAGAATTAAATTAGATTCTTTATTTTAACTAGTCTAGTCTAGTCTAAATAGAGCTCATATTGAAATTTAATTATTGGTAATTCGCCCTTCTCATTGATGATGTATGTATGTACGAGGAGAAATACCCACAAGAAGATTGGATATGAACAATAGGGTGTCAGATAAGAATGTATTCAGAGAGAGTAGTAGCACCCACAAAGCCGACGAGGCACAACAAGGAAACGATATTCGCCATCCCCATTGATGAGTCCGAGGAGAGATGAACTTTGTGAGCATTGCTGTCCCCTCGGAAACCTCTAATAATCATTGCCTGTAAAAAAAAAAAAACAATAAAGCTTTTAGTATTTATGTACATTAGAAAGTCAAACCTTTGTGAAACAACCAATTTCAGAGTTGTTAGTTAAGATAGATTTGGAAGATACAGTAAAACAATAAGATGCAGTTCGATCCTCAGATGCTTCAGCCATCAAGGGAAAGATTGCAAAATAGAGGTGTAATCCTTAATCCAGATTAAGTTGAGTAAGTCAACAGTTGTGGGATTGGCATTGCAAAAACGAANCGATCCTCAGATGCTTCAGCCATCTAGGGAAAGATTGCAAAATAGAGGTGTAATCCTTAATCCAGATTAAGTTGAGTAAGTCAACAGTTGTGGGATTGCCATTGCAAAAACGAACATAAAAAAGTCGGACAACCATCGGGAAAATTACTAATAAGTCTTACTCTTATCATTAAAAAACCGTCAAGTCCTATGATATTNGGATCCTCAGATGCTTCAGCCATCAAGGGAAAGATTGCAAAATAGAGGTGTAATCCTTAATCCAGATTAAGTTGAGTAAGTCAACAGTTGTGGGATTGGCATTGCAAAAACGAACATAAAAAAGTCGACAACCATAGGAAAAATTACTAATAAGTCTTACTCTTATCATTAAAAAACCGTCAAGTCCTATGATATTCCTACCATGACATTAGCTTACTCAATTGTCCATGTTTTCAGGGGTAAAGATCCCCGAGCCTTGAATCCACACCAACAGTAGATTGGAAAGTCCCATCGATCCTGTTAAATGGGCCTTCACGGCTTCACTCATTCTTTCATCCCCTGCTTTCTATCAGTCACTTAAATTCTTTAATTCTAACATCACAAAATAATTCAGAATATCGCTAGCCACCCACAACTTCAAACTATTCAAGAACCTAACTTTTCTTGTATCAGTAGTATTGATGGGTCACAATGCATGAAAGCAGAAAGAAACTCCAAGCCTCCACTAAGAAATTATGTGGAACAAGAACAGATGATTTGCAAGTTACTATTTTATAAGCTCTTTTGGGTTTCTCTTTCCTGGGAAAGTCTTTAATGTAAAACACCATCCTTCCTCCCCGTGCCACCACACCTTGGCACACGGCCTTTTCTTACTCAGAGAGAGTTCTTGTTGGGTTTGAAGAACCACGAACGTGAGAGGTGGAGGAGAAATTTGAGCAAGGAGAAACTATAATAATAAAAATTTCTGGCAAGTAAGTCAAACCTGAGATATCTGCTCAGCGTGGCTAAAAATATTTTTGAAGATCCGACGAACATATGTAAAGAAAACTGCGAAGTCATTAAACAGGTGTTTCAGATTACAGAAAGCAACAATTCTCCATGACAATCCGCTATTCAAGCCAATAAAAAGCACTGCAATGAGCATTATATGCCTAACAAGAAAAAGGACATCTGCATCCGAAGTCATATAAACTTGCATACTCACTATCAATCGTCTCCAACATTGTTAACTGTTGCCAATTAATCCGACGAGATACGATCCCCAGTGCAACATTACGGACCTGTAAAAATGTCATACAAAAATATTAAGAGCTCAAGGTTTCAGAACAATTGTTCTGTTACTTAATATTACAGATGAATTACCATATGCAAAAAAAAACTTCATTATATGTTTGAAAATCAATCAACCTTAATGAAACGAATTCTATGAACTCAAACCTGTCTCACCTCATCAAACACCACATTGATGAACCTTAATGAAAGTAGGAGAGTCAGAATAATTTCAGCCACTGGANTAATGAAACGAATTCTATGAACTCAAACCTGTCTCACCTCATCAAATACCACATTGATGAACCTTAATGAAAGTAGGAGAGTCAGAATAATTTCAGCCACTGGAACACCAAATTGTGCCAAAGGAAGCATATACCATTGCAGAGCAAATGCAAGTTGCTCAGGGGTAGTGGTTGTCAGGCAAAGGCTTGCACTTTGAAAGATCTTTCACAAAACAGAAAGTCAGAAATCTAGTAAAATTGAAGCAAACANCCCCGTGCCACCACACCTTGGCACACGGCCTTTTCTTACTCAGAGAGAGTTCTTGTTGGGTTTGAAGAACCACGAACGTGAGAGGTGGAGGAGAAATTTGAGCAAGGAGAAACTATAATAATAAAAATTTCTGGCAAGTAAGTCAAACCTGAGATATCTGCTCAGCGTGGCTAAAAATATTTTTGAAGATCCGACGAACATATGTAAAGAAAACTGCGAAGTCATTAAACAGGTGTTTCAGATTACAGAAAGCAACAATTCTCCATGACAATCCGCTATTCAAGCCAATAAAAAGCACTGCAATGAGCATTATATGCCTAACAAGAAAAAGGACATCTGCATCCGAAGTCATATAAACTTGCATACTCACTATCAATCGTCTCCAACATTGTTAACTGTTGCCAATTAATCCGACGAGATACGATCCCCAGTGCAACATTACGGACCTGTAAAAATGTCATACAAAAATATTAAGAGCTCAAGGTTTCAGAACAATTGTTCTGTTACTTAATATTACAGATGAATTACCATATGCAAAAAAAAACTTCATTATATGTTTGAAAATCAATCAACCTTAATGAAACGAATTCTATGAACTCAAACCTGTCTCACCTCATCAAACACCACATTGATGAACCTTAATGAAAGTAGGAGAGTCAGAATAATTTCAGCCACTGGAACACCAAATTGTGCCAAAGGAAGCATATACCATTGCAGAGCAAATGCAAGTTGCTCAGGGGTAGTGGTTGTCAGGCAAAGGCTTGCACTTTGAAAGATCTTTCACAAAACAGAAAGTCAGAAATCTAGTAAAATTGAAGCAAACAGATGAAAATGAAGGAAAGGTTAACGCCAATAAAACTGAATAATACTTTTTCCCTTTCAATATTATGATGGTCAAGTTCATAGAGAGAGTTTGAATAATAAAAAAAAATGAAAGTCTAATTGTTTACTTTCGGCATCGCATGTCTCATTAGCCATCTTATGTTCACTGAAATTTCCATTGGGTTACTCCGTGTCGTGTACACCAGTGTTATGAGTTGGAAAAGACAACGTCACTTTGGTCTTCAGCTTTCGTTGACGGATTTTAGGGAAGCCTAAGCTCGGTGTAGATCACCCCTAATGTCTTTCAATTTTAATCCTCACCCACATGATAGTGAACTACTACCCGTTTTTTCCACTTCCCGGTTACAAATTCATGCAAGATGAGGATTGCTATCAGGATAGGGCATGGAAATTTTTTATATGTTTGTTTAGCTATGACCCGTAGATAGATGTTCACTCCGGAGGAGCCATTTTGTATAATTTCCATAATTATTGGCTCCTCATCCTTTGTTCCTCTTTAGCGAAACTCTTAGAGAAAAGCAACAGTAGTTAAACATCAGCAACGCATTCTCATGGTCTAAATAACTGTTTAGTGATCAGCCAGATCTGTATCTAGTTAGCTCATAATCCAAAAATTCACAAAAACTAGATAAAACAAAATACATAATCTAAAACAAAGAATTTTTCTAAATAACCAGTTAATAGCCAGTAAAATTTTTGATGATCTTCAACAAAAAGTTCAAGAATGCTGTTTAATGGATTTATCTCCATCAAAAAATGATTGAAGAGACTATCATGTAAACCCAAAATCAAAAAGTTTCTAGGCAATTCTAGGAGTTTCAATAAAGTGGAAAAATTCCAAACCGTTTTTAGGTACCAATTATTCCAACAGAATACCAAAGATTTTCGAGTTTTCATATCAGATGTAACTACATGGATAGATCAAGACTGATTGAAAATTAAATAGACAGCCTGAAACTACTACATTATGGATTTGAAACTTGATCTAATTTAATGTATAATTTAAGCTTCACAGAATGATGTCTACCACAGTGTTACTTCCAATTGATTATATAAATCTGAATTAGTGTTGCGTTTGCAATGCAAAAGTAACAGGATGAGAATGTCAAGTTACAATGGTATTGGAAACATAAGGGGAGGGTAGTTTACAATATTCAATGATTTATCAGCTACATATCTTCATTTCCCTTTACAACCCATACTTCATTTGCCTTTACAACCCATACTTCATTCTAGATAAAAGGATTTGTGCCTCTAGATGCTACATAGAACAATGATGTCGGTGTTTAATTTTCACGTGACCAAGCACATTCTTGCCAAACCATAGCAGAAAGTGGAATGTGAGTGCATTACACACAACTTACAGTGAAGGTTAAGCATGCAGCTGTGCTAGCCACTGATAAGCCCTTTCTTGTAAGCTGTAATGGCCCTAACTTCATGATTAAATATGAATAACCTTCTGAAGATGCTGGAAGTCTTGGTAAGCCCAGCATTGAAGCTGGTGGGGTTCTTGACTGGACAAAGGGAGTTACACCATCTGTTCCCAACCCCAACATTATAAACAAAATCCCAGAGAGCAGAGACACTCTTCCCAGTTGATCCTACAACAATATCGGAGAGCGATGTAGGAACATATTGATAATCTTCAGATGAGAAGACATTATTATGTAAAATTCAAACCAAAAGAAATGGGAAGAAATTTTAAGAACTTTTTGGTATGGTATCATTTCCCAGCAAGGAAGAATGCAAACACAGACATGTAAATCTGACCAAAACAACAATTGAATTGGATTCCAAGTCCCAAAAGTTTATCCTTCTACAGGAACAATGCCACTGAATTAACAATAAAGAAAAAATCAAGAAGTTAAAAGGCCAAACTTACCACCCACACCTTCGTCGGTTGAATCCACATAGATAATAATGCTAGGCATATTACTAATCCAAAACGCATAAGAATATGCGACCTTGCTGGTATAATAACAAGGACAACGAGCCATGCCTGTGTATCAAGAACTTAGATAGTTGAGTTAAACCAACACTAAGCAAAAAAGAAGGAAGAAGCACATTTTCTGTACATTTCCTATTATGCAAAGACTACCAAACTCGAAGTTCTTCCAAGATTAGACNTTACTTCCAATTGATTATATAAATCTGAATTAGTGTTGTGTTTGCAATGCAAAAGTAACAGGATGAGAATGTCAAGTTACAATGGGATTGGAAACATAAGGGGAGGGTAGTTTACAATATTCAATGATTTATCAGCTACATATCTTCATTTGCCGTTACAACCCATACTTCATTCTAGATAAAAGGATTTGTGCCTCTAGATGCTACATAGAACAATGATGTCGGTGTTTAATTTTCACGTGACCAAGCACATTCTTGCCAAACCATAGCAGAAAGTGGAATGTGAGTGCATTACACACAACTTACAGTGAAGGTTAAGCATGCAGCTGTGCTAGCCACTGATAAGCCCTTTCTTGTAAGCTGTAATGGCCCTAACTTCATGATTAAATATGAATAACCTTCTGAAGATGCTGGAAGTCTTGGTAAGCCCAGCATTGAAGCTGGTGGGGTTCTTGACTGGACAAAGGGAGTTACACCATCTGTTCCCAACCCCAACATTATAAACAAAATCCCAGAGAGCAGAGACACTCTTCCCAGTTGATCCTACAACAATATCGGAGAGCGATGTAGGAACATATTGATAATCTTCAGATGAGAAGACATTATTATGTAAAATTCAAACCAAAAGAAATGGGAAGAAATTTTAAGAACTTTTTGGTATGGTATCATTTCCCAGCAAGGAAGAATGCAAACACAGACATGTAAATCTGACCAAAACAACAATTGAATTGGATTCCAAGTCCCAAAAGTTTATCCTTCTACAGGAACAATGCCACTGAATTAACAATAAAGAAAAAATCAAGAAGTTAAAAGGCCAAACTTACCACCCACACCTTCGTCGGTTGAATCCACATAGATAATAATGCTAGGCATATTACTAATCCAAAACGCATAAGAATATGCGACCTTGCTGGTATAATAACAAGGACAACGAGCCATGCCTGTGTATCAAGAACTTAGATAGTTGAGTTAAACCAACACTAAGCAAAAAAGAAGGAAGAAGCACATTTTCTGTACATTTCCTATTATGCAAAGACTACCAAACTCGAAGTTCTTCCAAGATTAGACTTTAAGAAAAAATCTGTTCAAAATGCACGAATGTGAGACAATGATACAACTCTTGACCCCCACCTCAATAATTCAATTCCTCGTCTGATTTAATTATTATATGGAAACGATGATGCTACAAATTTCAAAGCTACCAAATTTTATAAATTTTTGCCTCCAAAAGTAGAGACCCTTTTTAAGAAACTTTTTTGGAAATTAGTTTTCAAAACCCTTCATCAAACACATTTCATATATCATTTTCTGTTTTTCACTTTGCGAGGATGGACAATGGCCTTCAAAAGAGGATAACAAACAGGCCCGACCATACAGAGGTAAACTACAAAATTCATGAACCAAATAACAAGTTAAAAAAAAAAACAAAGAAAAGAGGAAATCAATTCAACTTGTACAACTATTACTTTAACTACTATAGTAGCATAAACACTCGAGAGAACAAAACAGATTTAACTCCTCTTCCGCATAGAAACCAATATAGAATTGAGAATATATCCAAAGGCAGGAAAGGCATTACGAACACTGTTGCCTCTTCATCTCATACATCAACTCACAGATGAACTCTGCCGCATGACCTAGTGAAACTCTATATCCTGTCCTAATAACAAGTATGGCGTTCAGAAGAAGATTTAATTCTGCAAGTCTACATAATGCCATAAAGCAATTCAAACCAAAACAACAGAAAAAGAGATTACAAAGCCCCTATAATAGTTTACTGTAGACACCTTCAAATATATTACAGTTCCCATTGTGAGATGGCACAAGATTACAATACACTACTCCGGAAACAGATGCAAAATAAAGCCTTCACACGCAGCATAATGCTACCCCTGTTCTCGCCCTCTTACATGTAGGGTCTTCTGAAGCCCAAATCTACACGCATAAGCATGGCAGGACCATCTCAAGTGGCTTCTTCCTATCCTATACCCTTTTGAGTGCAGACCTAGAGAACTGCATACATGAGAAGTTGTAGTGAAATGCTCATAGCANTGGAAACAGATGCAAAATAAAGCCTTCACACGCAGCATAATGCTACCCCCTGTTCTCGCCCTCTTATATGTAGGGTCTTCTGAAGCCCAAATCTACACGCATAAGCATGACAGGACAATCTCAAGTGGCTTCTTCCTATCCTATACCCTTCTGAGTGCAGACCTAGAGAACTGCATACATGAGAAGTTGTAGTGAAATGCTCATAGCAGTCATCCACTATTTGGAATGGTCGCCGTATACTGATCACCCCTCATTCCACTATGTAAACGATGTGACACCGTGGGCAAAACATTGGTGCCGAGTTTCCTGGGCTCAGAGAGCAGGGCCACTGTATCTCCACACTGTATATCCTGGTCATCTTTAGCTTATACCCTACAAGGCATGAGGCTTGTTTGATTGAAATGGGAGAATTTCAAAGATTATGTATACAACCTTTACCCACGTAATCAAAGACATCCCTTGCCTANACAAGGCATGTGGCTTGTTTGATTGAAATGGGAGAATTTCAAAGATTATGTACACAACCTTTACCCACGTAATCAAAGACATCCCTCGCCTACCAGACCCATTTCCCCATGACATGGTGCTCCATTGGCTAGAAGATCCACATTTGCCACATTAGAAACCTTCACAATGGCANCCAAGGCATGAGGCTTGTTTGATTGAAATGGGAGAATTTCAAAGATTATGTATACAACCTTTACCCACGTAATCAAAGACATCCCTTGCCTACCAGACCCATTTCCCCATGACACGGTGCTCCATTGGCTAGAAGATCCACATTTGCCACATTAGAAACCTTCACAATGGCATTTCAACCAATGTCGTTCCACTCTGCACCCTTTTCCGAAGCCTTTCCTCATACAGATTGCCATAAAGCAGAAAAGGACAAGACTGAAGCATACTTTTCTGCCAAATAATCACCTTCCTTCTACTTCCAGACCCTGAGCTAAAAAAAAAAAAGTAGTTCCCCATTGTTAGCCCAAGTTAGCTTACCCTTCCCTCATAGGAAATAACCTACAACCTCGTGCAGGGATCCTCAGAAGCTGTTCTCTCATCCTTGAGTGCACTACATCCCACACTTTCCTCAACTTCACTGCTGGTTCTTGGGCTTCTTTTATGTAAACATTCTACAACTAAACCCTTTTTCAAAGGTCTGGGCCTATTCTAACCAAGAGAGGTTTGTCACCCCTCAACAGCTAGCTTCATCAAATATCAAAACAACATACACCATGCTAATCAGAGCATTCATTTACTTTGATCAACCTTTCTAATCAACCAAACAATGCTAGAATTCAAATACCAATTAGTTACATCATAAATTACAAATAACTCCATAGTAGAAGGAAGAAAAACTTCAAACCATATATTGTTTTACACTTTTACTGATTCGTCACATTCCACTCTTACAAAATCATAACTCAAAAGAACTAGAATTCTACAATTTAACAGAAAGCAAGGAAGTGAAAACCTATTGACTAAACCATAAATTACAAAATGACTACGAAAGTTAATCACTTTGTGTTAAAAATTAGTCAACTCCAACCCAACATGTTTATTAATCATGCTTTGTTTGAGTCGACACTTGACAGACAGATATCAACCAAAAATTTAGGATTAGAAATCTCTAAACTAAAATTACCCATAGACCCCTATAAACTAACATTTCATGTCTAATCGAGAAATAGAAAACACAACAAAATCAGATAGATAATTACATATAATACCAACAAATTGTGCTGAACTGTTAAAATTGGATTATCCATGTTTATTTTATTACTAACTTGACCTGTTAATTATTCGTCACCACATTGTTCATGTCAAATAAATGGCCAACCTTAAACCAATAATTTCGAGTTTTGTTTGAATCATATCCAAAAAAGCCTACCTCTCCAAACAACCAGACCAACAATAAAGATAAAAACTAAAAACCCACGAAGTAAAACTCACTAATTTGTCAAATTTTCACTGCAAGACAATCAAAAAAACCCAAAAAAGAACTGAACATTACCAACTTGGTTCTGGGGTCCACAGAGTGCAAGAAAGTAGTTGGGGAAGATATGAACTGGCAAATGGGACTAGAGGTTGCACCAGAGATCAACCTCAACACTTTATCAGCTGAAATAAAGTTTCTTGGCAACCATTTTTCCCAGTTTCCTTTCGAAACATCTCCGTTTGCTGTACATCTGATTTGTGGTCTCAGGTTTTGGAGGTGGGTCAGTGAGAGATGTTTTGGTCTTGGGTTTGGATTGAATTGGTGTTTGAATACTAAAGAAGTCTGCGTTTTGAAGGAGAGAGAAAAGAGTGTCACTGCCGGGTGCGTTTGGAGGAGTTTGGTGGACATGGGTGACTGTTCGGAAGTGGCGCTGTTGGGGGTAGAAAAAGAGAGAGACGGGAAGGTAACTGTATAGTTATGCGCTTTGGGGCGGATCCAAATTTTGGGAACCGATTTCAGATCCGGCCCACTTGTGACATGATTCTAACCATTGAAAGTTTAACAGAGTCCATGAAATACACTAATCTAATAATCCAAATTGAGGTGGTGCAAAAAAGTGATTACTGTAGTATTATTATTCTTTTAATTGTTTTTATTCATGTTAGGTTTGTTTATTAATTATGTCGAGTTGGGTCTACTTATTTATGAAACGGGTAGTTTAAAAAATATTCGAACTCTCTAATTTCGTGTCGTATCATATTTTAACACCTCTAACTAGTAGTAGCATCGACAATTTACCTTTTTAAGGTTAAGAATAAATTTTTGAGACAAGTTATATCATCNCAATCTAATAATCCAAATTGAGGTGGTGCAAAAAAGTGATTACTGTAGTATTATTATTCTTTTAATTGTTTTTATTCATGTTAGATTTGTTTATTAATTATGTCGAGTTGGGTCTACTCATTTATGAAACGGGTAGTTTAAAAAATATTCGAACTCTCTAATTTCGTGTCGTATCATATTTTAACACCCCTAACTAGTAGTAGTATCGACAATTTACCTTTTTAAGGTTAAGAATAAATTTTTGAGACAAGTTATATCATCAAATAATATGATCGATTCCAAAATATTATAATCGATCATAAAAGTTATTATTTTTAAAAGTAAAATTTTTTTCCCTCTCGATAACACAACATTATCCCTAATTCACTGTTACAAAAATCAATCATACGTGATAAGTTTTATCATTAAATTCAGACGTCGTGAATTTGAATTTTAGCAATCTTTTAAGGTCAGGTCATAAGAAATTTTTCCCTTATAAATACTCTAGTCTCGGTGTGGATGACATGTTTTTGATCGGACTGAGTAAAAAATTGGTTGAGGTATTGAGATGCATGCAAGCTGGTCTGAACACCCCGAATTTTGATCGGACCGAGTAGAGAATTAGTTGGGGTATTGAAATGTNAGATGACATGTTTTTGATCGGACTGAGTAAAAAATTGGTTGAGGTATTGAGATGCATGCAAGCTGGTTTGAACACCCCGAATTTTGATCGGACCGAGTAGAGAATTAGTTGGGGTATTGAAATGTACGTAAACTGACCCGAATAATCCAACAATTAAACCAAAAAAAAAACTTGCCAAATATGAGAATGGGAGCCCCATGAATTTACTTTACCAAATCCTATAGCACTAAATCTTAATCCAGTGAACCAAACTGCCCCTACAAGGTAGAAGAAGACAGCAAACATTGCTTCAATCTCTCAAGCTCACACAAACAAGAACATCCCATCTTCCAACAATCCAATTCTTCTTCAAAGCACCTTTACAATCTCTGGAAACCAGTTTACACACACACACACACACATACATAGCACAAAAATAAATGGCAACCCACCTACATGATATGTATTTGTGTCATCGCAGTAACCAATAAGTTTGTAACTGATATATGTTTTATGTACATCAAATAAGGGAGATTATGAATAGAAATTAAAATCTTCCTCCACTGATCTTTCGCCGCACGACGGCGTCTTCAACACCAAGATGAATAGCAGCCGTGCAAAATAACTGTGTCCAACTCAAAAGTATCATTAAGGTCTCCAGAGTCCGCTGTAAGCAAAAATAAATAAATAAAAATAGTCTTTCTGCCATTAACAATCATTTGTTCATGTATGAANTGCAAAAATAAATAAATAAATAAAAATAGTCTTTCTGCCATTAACAATCATTTGTTCATGTATGAAGAGCTCTCTTCTCCTAAAAAAGAAAAACCTTTTTGTAATGTTAGCCTTCTTGCATTATGACAAATGCATCTTTCTGATTAAACTATCAAAATTTGTGATATGGAAAGGGTGCCTCTGTCCCCCATCAACAAAAGAGAAAAGTAACAGGGAAAATCTCATAGATAATACCTGAATTATACCCCGATTTTAAAATGCCCGTTTAATTTCCAATTGTTTCCATTTAGTTATGTAAATCGAAGCAACCAATTCATTCCATCCAAGTTTCCACTAAACTTTTGTTGTTTTCATTGAGAAATTTGTCGGAATATTCTCTAATTGGAATGATTTACATAATTCATTAGTTTTCAATTTATAATAACTAGCTTACCAATTTTGAATCTGTCCAACCTATATTAATCTCTTTGCATGCCAATCTGCAGGAACAAAAAAGAAGGTGGCATGAGCTTAGAACAAGTACAGTGATTCAAATCTTAGCAAGGTAAATACCATTAAAGGTAAGAATTGGATACTAAAACTAACCATGTTTTTGTGTTACAATATATTTGTTTAGGTTAAGATGCAACAAAAAGGGTTACAATCAATCATGAAATGTTTATATAAATGATAAACATTAGGGTCAAACCCTACAATTATTTTTTGTAGTAATTTAACCCAAAAAAGTTATAAATTTGGATTAGTTTTCCGTAAATTTATCAAAGAATTGAGAGAATTATTCACCCCATGGCAAGTAGTGTGAGTGACCAAGTGAGAAGAGAAGACGCAGCAGCTGCATGTAAGTTAGAAAGATTCCATTGGATCACATTAGTGATACCAGTAACTGAGGTGATGAAGCCCACAACACCAGCTATAAGTGAGAAGATGACGAAAAAACCAGTGGCCATGTTGCCAAATGGAAAATAAATGGGAAATATCCGAGCAGGGACCGACAAAACAGATGCTGCACAAACCAAGAGGATAACATTGAGTTGAATCCAAAACAAAACATTAACCAAGTTATTTTGATGCTGAATGCTCGATTCACTAACTAAAATTGAGTTTTGTTTATTATTCTAAGATAATTTTGGAACTTTATTTCCCATATAACATGATTTCTAGCTTGTTTTTTCAAATTACAACAGTTTTGATGAAAGCATGAGTTGAACCAACATGAAATCGCATGTTGCATATGCGTTTTTCCATTGAAAAACGTTAGTTCAAATTCACCTTTTTTTTAAAATAAAACTTACCATAGTTTGGAGAATAAGTTAAAAAGGACGATATTGTAGGAAAAAGAAAAAAAAAACGCTAGTTTGGTAATTGATTCGACTAAAATCAATATAGAAGTACCTGANGCGTTAGTTCAAATTCACCTTTTTTTTAAAATAAAACTTACCATAGTTTGGAGAATAAGTTAAAAAGGATGATATTGTAGGAAAAAGAAAAAAAAACGCTAGTTTGGTAATTGATTCGACTAAAATCAATATAGAAGTACCTGATTCACGAGCACGTTGAATCCCATGATTTACAGCCCATGCAGCAATCACAGTAACAATGAAGTACAGGAAGAGATTGAGAATTAGGAGGATAAATGCTGTTGATTTGCCTGCTCCAGAAGCCATGGCCTTAGAACTTAGAAACAAGAAAGTAGTATTTTGATTGGTTGCATTCTTCTTGGGCTTTAGAGGGAAATATATATAAGCTAGAAATGATTAAAAATGGTTTTTCCACTGTATGTTCTATTCTCTTGCTTTTACTATATAATTGGAGTAGCTTCAATTCAAAGAAATGGTTGGCATTCCTTATTCTTGTACTTGGGTTTGCCTCATGGAGGGGACAAGAATACTCTTTCCCTTCCAAGTTGTAAATCTAGTCCTCAATTATTCCAGTATAGGAAAAAGGCCTTTTTCCTACAGATCAAATCTGCAGAGCAGAACTTCCCCTAATACTAAGTTTTCCTGTATTTAGTTCTATCGATTCCTCTTAACAATGTTATGTCATTTTACATTCCTCTGCTTATTGTAATGCATATCATTTCCTCTTAACAATGTTATATCATTTTACATTCCTCTGCTTATTGTAATGCATATCATTTCAAAGTAGACGAGCCATTATCAGAATTAAGGAAAAAACAAGCTCTTTACATTTCTTGAAGGGTAGCCATTGTAAAGTTTTTAGGGGTTTGGAGCAGATGAAGCGTTCCTGGTTTTCTTTCTTCTCGGTTTTGCTTTCGCTCCTAAGGTTGAACTTCTTGTTCTTGTCCTTGTACTTGGTTTAGCATGGTTTAAAGAGAGGAAATACTAAACCATCCCACCAAATATGTCAATTCCCATATCAATGTTTCGGTTCCTGTCCTACCTATACTTGTTTATATTGCAGAAAACAGATAAAAATGGCAAAGAAAGAAGTCCACAAGATCAATGCAAGTGCAAATATTGAAGTAAAATGTTCATAATCTATCAATGATTTTCATGAGCACACCCTGATCCTAAAAATTTCTTGCAGACAAGGAACCACTTTTTCGAATGAAGAACAACCAACTTTGGGACATTTATTTACATGGGATTTTCAATAAAGCATCCATAAATTAAGAGAATGAGTTGATTTGCACATGAGCTCACTGTTCCCAATCAATTTTCTTTAAGTCCCTCCACTATATTTAGACATTCAACGACAATTTCTGAGCAGCAAGAGCTTCAGCCTCAAGAGTTGGCTCCCACAGTAATGTAGTTTCAGCAAGTAATGAGGTCACAACATAGGGGTCCATGTTTGAAGCTGGACGCCGATCTTCCAAGTAACCTAACACAACAATACACATTGGTGGTATCATCGATACAGGATAGACACAAATAAAGGATTAGTCAATCAAATAATAGATAGTACATGGGTCGATTTGAAAATAAATGAATTGTTAGTCATAGAATATTATTTGCATAAGACTTAAACCTAATGAAAATAACAAAGATTCGAACGATATTTCTCCTTTCGGCGACGTAAGTTAAGATAAATAAGGGTTTGATCAGCATTTTTATACCATTTAGGTATCACAGACTGAGAGGAAGGTTTTTATTCCTTATCTACTCTTTTCTTCCAGTATTTCCGTCCCACAGCAATTAGGAATATATCAAAGAAAGGTCTAACTGTTGAAATAGTCGTATCCATTGCTATTTGATCCACCCTAATGCAAGTGCAATCAGCAATTATATAAATGCTATAGGCTGGGGTCAGGTATAATTCTTGGATCTAGTATTCTGAGTATGGCAAACTTTGTCATCAACAAGATTGGTTTTGTTGCAGTTCATATAACTATTCCTCTTTTTTTTTTTTTTGGTGCGGATAGAACTATCTTCTTGTCTTAACTGACAAAGACTTCATTTAAATGGTATTTGCAGTGCTTTTATTGGTAGTACCTTTGCCTTGCTTCTCAGTTTCACGCCCCACACGGATTGAGCAGCCACGATTAGCAACACCCTGAAAGTTGAAATGAAGGGATTTCATCAGAATTCGTTTCCTACATAATCTCTGATTCATTAAAAAGCAGGTGCTGACTATGTTATAGAGCATACCCAAGAAAATGTGTTGATACTGGCAGTTTCGTGCTTTCCTGTCAACCTTCTCTCATTTCCTTCTCCATAAGCACTGATGTGCTCATTGTGGCGAAGGGACATGTTCAGAATTGCCTTCTTTATTACTTCATAGCCTCCCTCCTCTCTCGTACTCTTTGTACTGCAATCCCAAAGACTAGTCAAGCAATATGTATTTTTTTGATGTTTCTCCAGCATAAAAGTCATAAAGTTCAAATATCCTTTCATGGTGCATGAATATATGATTATCGAAAAAATATACAAGTGAACCTGTAATTAGTGTGGCATCCTGCACCATTCCAATCACCCTGTCGACTCAAAGAAGGGAGATTTTACTATCACTATCAACATTAATGAAGAGAAATTGCGTATAAATTGTACTTATAATACCTCAATTGGTTTTGGATCAAGTGTGAGAACAACTCCAGCTTGTTCAGTTATTCTCTGTTAAATCACCACCAGAAAAATCCAAAAAATTAATGTATCCCATATGGCAATGCTATAAGACAGCCACATACATGGAATATGATTTATACATTAAAGAATTTATCGGGCTGTCCTAATTATGTAACTTAAAGCGTGTATGATGTGGTCACTTGAAGAAGCATGAGCTAGAATCTAGATGTCACCTGACGTGAATTGAAAAGAACCTCACCCAGGACTTCATATCCAAGGCCATCATAGTTTCATGTCAATTCTCTATAAACAAAGTCATGGAGAGATGAAGATAAGTTACCTCAAGGAGGTATCTGGCACACCAGATGTGATCTCCAGCTTCAATTCCCACACTGGGGCCAACTTGAAATTCCCACTGCAAAAACAATCATCAATGATGGTGGTGATTAACTAGACAGGCATTATAACTATGACTTGTTTATCAAGTTTATACATTTAACAAGAAAAGCGAATGAAGAGGAGTAAACCTGGCCAGGCATAACCTCCCCATTGGTGCCACTAATATTAATCCCAGCATATAAGCAAGCCTTGTAGTGAGCATCAGATATGTCACGGCCAAAAGATTTGTCTGCCCCGGCAGCACAATAATAAGGACCCTGAAATTTAAAGAAAATTAAATGTTTTGTACTGGCAGCTTCATTGCTTCATCATTTATCAACTGAATTACTATTGAAGAGGAAGAACATCTATACCTGAGGGCCCGGATAACCTCCAACAGGCCAACCTAAAGGCCATTTCACATTTGTTTGAAGCAAGGTGTATTCTTGCTCTATGCCATACCTAGTTTGAATGGATTACAGAAGATATTAGCAGTTCCAGTGAAAAAAAAAATTTAGAAAAGAAACATGGGAAACTATTTCTCTGGCCGAATTGGCCTAGACAACAAAAATTGGGACTCTTCTTCATTGTGTGAAGTATTACGTTTTCTCATAGAGATCGAGGTATCAAAGAAGTTGTATGGGCATGAAGTTATAGGGCAAGAGTCAATAAGAAAAAAACTTACCATGGCACTTCAGCTACAACCTTTGGCTCACTGAAAATCTGTGCAGCCCTGTGGCGCTTATTCGTGGGGATGGGCTCACCTGCTGGTGTGTATGTATCACAAATTACCTTTTTAAATGGCATTTAAGAGAAACTGAGTTAGTCTTTTACAGCAATATAGTATCATATTTTGATCGCAATATAACATATAAATTGAAAACTACAATACAAATTGAACTACAACATCAGGTATCGCCAGTTAGTTAAATTACATTACACTCACCAATATATTGTTACCACCGCGAAAAGGATCCTTGAAAATTGCTTGAGGGCTGAAAAAAAATTCAATCAAGATTATGATGTGAAAGAAAAAGAAGAAAAAAAAAACTGAAAATAAACAAAAGAAAGAGATTTTACTATAGAATCACTTCGCTATCTTCTCCAGGTGCTTGTCCAGTACTTGATCCATCATAGTTCCACTTAGGGAGCTCAGATGGGTGTTCAACTGGCTTTGAGATTGTCTGAAATTTACGATTGTATCACAATAACAATGTCAATATTTATTTATTCAAAAATATCGAAATCTTATTCTTGTAGCAAATTCAAGGTACATAATAATAATAGCATGAACATCACATTACCCTTGATTTACTACGCAAATCAGTACCGGATCCTCCAATCCTGTTCAAATAACAAGGAAAACGTCACGACTGAGCTACAACCAGCTGGGTAAAACCATCCCTAAGGTAACAATTAGCACAGAAACTATCTAATAGCTTTCCTAAAAATTAAGTGGACCAATATCCGCGAACAACAATAACTGTTTGGTGTTATTGAAAATTGCAAGCCAAAGAATACATACCAAATATACTCGGCTATGATCTTATCAGTGAATGGAGTTAGGTCCATATTTAGCAGATCCTCTATCCTGTTGATAGTACCATTTTCAGACTTAACAGCAAGCACTTTAAATTTTGCAGAGCTTCTAAATGTTCCTTTCTTGTTCTGCTTAACCAATAGAGAACTCCACATCTTTGATGTCAATGGACTTGCATCTGTTGAGTTCTTTGTAACTCTCATCTGCCATTGTGCAGAAGGAGCCAAGATCTGTGCCATTTTCAGCTATTCCTCACTGAAAAAAAAAATAAACTAACACTGATAAAAAATTTAATCATCAGCTTCAAAATAAAGCAACATAGAGTAGACAATTTTTTTTATCACATAAACACCACAAACCATCATGTAGGATCTGTTACCAAAATCTCTATTATGGTGCTAAAATTAAATTTACTGAATTAACCTTACTTAACCCCTCTTTGGATTATGCAAAATCATGAACTTATTTTCTTTTCTTTTTTCGGAAAATAACCATAATCTTATTTCCGGAAAATCCAAACAACCAATATATGTCTCCTGCACAATCTGTCCAATATAACCTCTAGTCCAGCATATATAAGCTCACATCTTTTGTAACCTTATAGTGTTTATACACATCCATATGTATACTACCATACTTATAATTAAGCTCAGAGGAAGGGACCAAATCAGGAAAAAGAATTTAAAAAAAAAAAAAACTAAAAAAGTATTATCAAACGGCACTGAAAATTTTCCCCCTCTCTNGCTCAGAGGAAGGGACCAAATCAGGAAAAAGAATTTTAAAAAAAAAAAACTAAAAAAGTATTATCAAACGGCACTGAAAATTTTCCCCCTCTCTGCTTGCCAATTAGGCTGTGCATCACTACAAATGACATGACAGCATTATATTATATACAAGTTGTAATATATTTAAAGTTGATTTCATTATCATCCCTGGAGTTTAGCTTTTATCAATATAGTTGAGGAAAGAATAGTCTAATAAATTATATAAAAAGATATGAATTTTGCAACCGGTTGACTTTGTATCTAATAATTTGATGGAATAAGCTACCCATAGTGGACCAAGTTGCCTGATAGTTTTATCTGCCAAAGTGCATATAGACATGTTTGAAAGAACCTCCCTCCTCTGCTAAGGGCCTTAGACCATCTGAAAAACTCTTCTTCTTTTCGTTTTCAGAAGTTAACACCATGTTNGCCGGTTGACTTTGTATCTAATAATTTGATGGAATAAGCTACCCATAGTGGACCAAGTTGCCTGATAGTTTTATCTGCAAAAGTGCATATAGACATGTTTGAAAGAACCAAAAGGCCCCTCAACCCATCTTTTTCCCTCCTCTGCTAAGGCCCTTAGACCATCTGAAAAACTCTTCTTCTTTTCGTTTTCAGAAGTTAACACCATGTTAAAATCCCATTTGAGTGATGCTAATGATATGGGGAAAAAAAAGATTACAAAATGAAAAACCAGAAAATAAGGAAAAAAACACTCACAACTCCGAGATCTCCGGTTCAAATCTTAACAACCCTTTAGGGTCGATCAACGATGGATTTATCCCTCGTATCAACGAATTAGGCGAAGTGCGTTTAAACTCACTCAAACAAATTAACCGTTGAACCAACAAAAAAGAAAAATAAAAGGGAAAAAAAAAAAAACAGAATACTGCTGCCACCTACCACCACCACCAACAACAACAAAACACTTACACACAGGCAAATCCACATGTAATGATATAGGTATTAGTCAGATTGTGAGAAAAGTCAGAGACAGTGAAGACTCCACCAACCCTTTCTCTAACTACATCATGTACAGTAGTCACATTATACGTCAGAACACCAAAAAGTTCGGCCACAAGAAGTTTTTGTCCACTCTAATGCAAGAACAGTAGAGAATGAATAACATGTATGGACTGCACATGTACCTGGAAAGTGCCGGAAAATGGGTCTGAGGAGCAACTGGAAAGTGAATCAGATTCCAACTTCAGAGCAGAGAGACAGGNATCAGAACACCAAAAAGTTCGGCCACAAGAAGTTTTTGTCCACTCTAATGCAAGAACAGTAGAGAATGAATAAAATGTATGGACTGCACATGTACCTGGAAAGTGCCGGAAAATGGGTCTGAGGAGCAACTGGAAAGTGAATCAGATTCCAACTTCAGAGCAGAGAGACAGGAGAGAGAGAGAGAGAGAGGGAGGAACTTGTGGTTGCGTTGGTTCAAGGTGATATAATAATAAGAATGGGTGATGGTTTAGAAGTGGAAATGTTTGTTNGGAGAGGGAGAGGGAGGAACTTGTGGTTGCGTTAGTTCAAGGTGATATAATAATAAGAATGGGTGATGGTTTAGAAGTGGAAATGTTTGTTGGCTTTTTCTTAGCAGATAGGGGTCAGCTTTGAGTGGAGGAAAATAGTTTTTGGTCTCTCTGAGGTCACCAAGAGAATGTACGACTCTTTAACCAATTGGGTCTAGATTATAAGATCAATTTTCACGTAGAATAAGGATTGATCTGTTCTATACTTTTCGGGTATATCTCTACCCCTATGTTGATTTTGGCCTATTTGTGACCCTCTTTGATTGTAAATATTGTCATTCTTTCACCATTTACTCCTCTGTTTGTAATTATTATTAATTCGATTATACGACAATTTCTCATATTGTAACACTCATATACATAGAGATGATAATCGAGTCGGGTTTATTTAAAAAATTAGTTGAATTTGAATCAAATATAAATAATTCGACTATTTTACATGTAAATGAGTCAAATTTTGAGTCGAGTCTTATCTTAACAGATTCTGAATAACTCTACTCAATTATCAGCCCTAGATACACTGCAATTTTAGAAATCATATTCATAATTACAATGCTAATCTAAGAATATTGCTTACCAAAAATAAATATGTTTAGACTATTGATTGAAATATAGAGTTAGACCTTATGCCCATCCAAATACCTTCAACTCTTCAGAAGCTACATAACTCAATCTTTATGTCTCTACCAGGACTCCAAGAGTCAATCTTGAGACTTTTTTTTTTTAATGTAATTAAGTACTAAAATTAAAGTAACTGGATATGAGTGTTACAAAATTTGGGCAAGGTCGGGGTGTAATTCGGGTGGGTTAACCCGAACCCACCCCAAAAAACGGTTTGGATTGAAATTTTTAAAGTTTGGGTTGAACTGAGACTGAAAAAAATTCAACTCGAATTGAATTCGGAGCATACTTAGGTTAAGGTTTCGGGCTCACAAGTTTAACCGAACCCAATCCAAATTACTAAAATCAGGGCTCAAGCCATATTCACAATTCGGGTTCAACCCGAAATTAAAATATGTGTGTGTGTACACAAAACTTTAAATGCAGTTTAGGTTTTTATTGAAGTTAAGTTGGTCAAACAATTGTGTCATGCGAAAAAAATTGAGCTTAAAATTAAACTTGAATTACGAGGCCGAACTAATGAACATGAATGAACCTAAATAGAGACAAAATTAACTCAGACAATTCTTAGTTTGAGTACTTCGGACTCGAGTTAAGTTAGGATTGAAAGTTTTACAACTTGGGTTAGAGCTGAATTGATCCTCTAACCCGTCCAACTCTTCTTAATTGCACCCGTAATAGTACAGGCACAGCCCGCACAAATAATAATCTCCCTACCAAATATGGTTGGGTTACTACTTTTTTTGAGTTATTTTGCAGTAAACATATGCCCATGAAATTCTGACTATTGTTCTCCTCTAACAAAGAGAGCAATGGTGTATGAGACACACATACGTACGCACAAGGTAAAGATGACAAACAAACCAAAAAAAAATAAACATTCATAGATTAGAAACCACCAAAAACCCATATGCATATATACCAAAAACCAATAAATAAGAAAACTAATAAAAAGGGTATTTCATTAATGATGTTTTCCTAGGTATGGTCGTATTGTACCAAGTGTCGGTTAAAATCAATAATGATCAACAAGATCAAAATTAAAATGTCGATTTTATGGTTCGTCTTAAAGTTAAATGTATATTGTTTGATTACTTTATATTGATTAAAACAGATTTTATATTTGTAAAAGTAAGACCGTATACATTTGACCTTTTATAAATTTCGTAATAACAAAAATTTTGTGCATTGAATGCGACCTTTACGTGAAATCTAAGCTAACACACATTGCACCCTTCTCTGTTGGCTGATAAACCTTCTTGAAGCTATCCAATATCAGTTATTGAGAATGGTTGTTGGAGATGCTGACATTCTTGTGCACTTTTGGGGCCACAGGATAAGGAGTTTGGTAACTAGAGGTGTACATGTTCAGCTGCTCTTTCAAGGTAAGAGCTGAGATTCAATGGCTATTAGTTTCCATACATTTTAATGATAAAATATGTATATATATATATATTTAAAAAAAAATTTAATTTAAAATTTAAAAAAAATAAAAATTTCATCTTAATTAGGGGTGAAAATTTTCGACTCAATATGATGACACAACTCAAACTCGACATAAATGTTATAACACGAACTTGATTATAACTCGACACGGACTTGAAAACGACCAGACATGTGAACAATAAATAAAAAATGTTCATAATTTTATGACTCAAAAGAATCTGACACGACACGACTCGATGTCAACTCTAATCTTAGTCGTCACAAAAAAAATTAGTTATTTTTATTTTTCATCCATCCAACCAAACACAAATGAAGAAAAATGTATCATTCTTATTTTTCTATTTTTGAAAGATAGAAAGTGTATCCTCCTATTTTTCATATTTTTTACTTTTTATCTTTCCTACCAAAGAGAATATTAGAGTTTAGACCTAATCATTAATCGAGAAGCGATGGAAATGGCTTCAGAGCAGTAAGGAATGGTAAGGCCCTTTATCATGAAACTTGTCTCTGAAACTATATGATATGAATACTTCGAATTTAGCCGAGGTGATGATGGAAAACACCAACTTGTTTTGGTTTTATTCTTTAGTGTCTGAGACTCCCGTTATCATAAGATCTAAGTTAGATATACACAATTTTATCTTCACATGAAGAGTCTATTTGTGTGGCTCGAATTCATGATATCAAAATCAAAATAAAACAGTCTTATTATTTGACTAAGTTCCGATTTTAGGAGAAAATATTTAACATAACAATAATAACACATCATCACTACCATGTATTGTGCCCACTGAGTAAAAGAAATAACAAGTAAGCAAGTGAATCGTATACAATTCGATAACTACCGCTCCACGCTATATAATAAATACACCCATATAAAAAAGTGAGATTCATTTTATATAATTGATTGTTTTCTATTAAATGTTGGCATCCCGCGACAGTGATAACATAGTGGAGCTAGAGGTATTTCCATCACATAAACTGAATTAATATTTCCTCTACCCTTGAAAAGTCCATCTTANATTCGCTGACATAACGATGTCTCAAGTGATGAAATCTCACGAAGATGTTTAAGAATTACAGCGACAATAACACAATTAAACCACTTCACTATCTCATCATTAGATCTAAGTCTTTTTTGTCACAAACTCAATGCCACGTGACAAAGAAGGGACCAAAAAATCCAATAGAAAATGATTAAAGGAGACAATAATTCTAAAAGCATCCATACATTGATCAAAGGCAATAAGGTGGTGGAGTCTGTCATTGATTCCCCCAACAACCTAGGCAATGGATGGTTTCCCTTTGAGTAAAAAAATGTTTTAATCAAAGTAGTTTGTTAATTATCATTAGACAAACAACATGCACAATCTATGTGTTGCTGACAGAACATTATTTGTGTTAAGGTGGTTGGTTTTACTCATTTTTGCATCATAAGAGAGTAGAGATTTCATAGTCATTCTACACTAAACTTTTATGTCTCCATCTATTTTCACTTTCTCTACAAGCATCCATATCTATATACAAAGATACGAGCCTATGTATACATACAAACACAAAAGTCTTGACTAAAACAAAACCAACTTAAAATAAATTCATTTATCAACATGACTCTAATTTTAAAATTTTCTATATAAAACAAATGGGTTATCCAAGTTGTCACAAGCACCAAAGTGCTATTACGATCCTGTTTCAAAGTATTGATCGATATTAATACGAGTCGGTCAAGTCATAATTGACTTGACATCTGTTGATAGGGGTGTTAATTGAGCCGATCTTTGTGAGTTTGAAGGCGAGCCTAAATAGCTTATTTTTCTAAATAAACCTAAAAAAATGTTCAAGTTTTACTTGTTCAGAGTTCGAGCCAAACCTGAACAGTNACAAACAACATGCATAATCTATGTGTTGCTGACAGAACATTATTGACATTATTTGTGTTAAGGTGGTTGGTTTTACTCATTTTTGCATCATAAGAGAGTAGAGATTTCATAGTCATTCTACACTAAACTTTTATGTCTCCATCTATTTTCACTTTCTCTACAAGCATCCATATCTATATACAAAGATACGAGCCTATGTATACATACAAACACAAAAGATTGACTAAAACAAAACCAACTTAAAATAAATTCATTTATCAACATGACTCTAATTTTAAAATTTTCTATATAAAACAAATGGGTTATCCAAGTTGTCACAAGCACCAAAGTGCTACTACGATCCTGTTTTAAAGTATCGATCGATATTGATACGAGTCGGTCAAGTCATAATTAACTTGACATCTGTTGATAGGGGTGTTAATCGAGCCGATCTTTGTGAGTTTGAAGGCGAGCCTAAATAGCTTATTTTTCTAAATAAACCTAAAAAAATGTTCAAGTTTTACTTGTTCAGAGTTCGAGCCAAACCTGAACAGCTCAACTATTCTATATACAAACAAGTTGAGTTTTACGAGTTTAAACCGAGTCTTTTATGCTCATTTTTTTAAATGAGCTTAAAAATTATTCAATTTCAACTCGTTTAAAACACAAGTTGAGCTCGAGTAGATCGTCTCGATTAACACCTTCATCAGCCGATATAATACCATTATACGATTCATATAAATCTTGAGTTGCGCTCGACTTGACTAATTTGTTCGAGTTGTATCTTAGTTAATCGACACTACATTATCAAGTATTATCAAATAAATATATATAATTAATAATTTGACAAGAATTTAATTAGATAATCTATGGACAATATAAAACCAATTATACATGACTATAAAGTAATAAAGGCGTGTTGAACGTATCAATAAAACATGATATATGACAAACAAGTTACAAATTCAGCACTACACAACTTCTTATCCACTCTGCACAAATTAACCATACAAGTTTCACACGTGTACAATATATAGTTCGTCTGTTGTTGACGAGTAAATTTTTTTATATATATAATTTTTTTCCTTCATTTCTTAAATTCTTAGNTTCAACTATTCTATATATAAACAAGTTGAGTTTTACGAGTTTAAACCGAGTCTTTTAGGCTCATTTTTTTAAATGAGCTTAAAAATTATTCAATTTCAACTCGTTTAAAACACGAGTTGAGCTCGAGTAGATCGTCTCGATTAACACCTTCATCAGCCAATATAATACCATTATAAGATTCATATAAATCTCGAGTTGCGCTCGACTTAACTGATTTGTTCGAGTTGTATCTGAGTTAATCGACATTACATTATCAAGTATTATCAAATAAATATATATAATTAATAATTTGACAAGAATTTAATTAGATAATCTATGGACAATATAAAACCAATTATACATGACTATAAAGTAATAAAGGCGTGTTGAACGTATCAATAAAACATGATATATGACAAACAAGTTACAAATTCAGCACTACACAAGTTCTGATCCACTCTGCACAAATTAACCATACAAGTTTCACACGTGTACAATATATAGTTCGTCTGTTGTTGACGAGTAAATTTTTTTATATATATAATTTTTTCCCTTCATTTCTTAAATTCTTAGGGTTTTAATTATCAAACTGAGGCTCTCTGGAATCACTTTTTACCATTGTATTCCTTGTAACTACTCCTTAACTACCCACTAGTTAACCGTTACTTTTTAAAATTTATTCACTATTAAATAATTGATAGGGTAAAAGAAAAAAAATAATGGATAAAATCCAATAAAAAAAATAAGTATCCTAGTGCATCGCATTCGCGTAGGCGTAGGACACTTGTATTCAATATAACAGTTACACCACTTATAATTATTATGTGGTATTATCGATTAATAATACACGAAAATTATTAGATATAAAAGTTGTTGGTGGTTATAAAATTGGTTGGTTATACCATGCAACGATAATGATTAAATATGTCAATCGTATCGAGTGAAACAGGTTCGTCTCGAGTTTTTGTAAAAAAATTTTACTATTCAATTTATTTATTAATTTGAGTTTCACGAACCGTATCATGTCGAATTCGTGTTGGGTATAAATTTTATATAATAAATATTATAATTCGGCCGTATANAGGTAAAAGAAAAAAAATAATGGATAAAATCTAATAAAAAAAATAAGTATCCTAGTGCATCGCATTCGCATAGGCGTAGGACACTTGTATTCAATATAACAGTTACACCACTTATAATTATTATGTGNGGGTAAAAGAAAAAAAATAATGGATAAAATCCAATAAAAAAAATAAGTATCCTAGTGCATCGCATTCGCGTAGGCGTAGGACACTTGTATTCAATATAACAGTTACACCACTTATAATTATTATGTGGTATTATCGATTAATAATACACGATAATTATTAGATATAAAAGTTATTGGTGGTTATAAAATTGGTCGGTTATACCATGCAACAATAATGATTAAACATGTCAATCGTATCGAGTGAAACAGGTTCGTCTCGAGTTTTTGTAAAAAAATTTTACTATTCGATTTATTTATTAATTTGAGTTTAACGAATCGTATTACGTCGAATTCGTGTTGGGTATAAATTTTATATAATAAATATTATAATTCGGCCGTATAACTTTGGACGCTCTAATAGACACGTTTGGCAGTTGAGTTTTTAGTTAACCACTTTTACCATCCTGCAGTTGGATTGGATACAGCCAGATTCCACAGAGAGAGAGAGAGAGAGAGACAAATCAAGATGTCACGTGCCAATTTCTCACGCCCTTTCGAGTTCCGACGCTTGGCACGTGCCAGAGAGCAATAGAGAAAACAATAACTTNTCAAATCAAGATGTCACGTGCCAATTTCTCACCCCCTTTCGAGTTCCGACGCTTGGCACGTGCCAGAGAGCAATAGAGAAAACAATAACTTTTTACTTTTGCAATATATATATATATTTTCCTGCGTATTTGTGTTTTTGCTTGGAACAAACACAACGCCAATCGGGAACGCCACCAACAACAATACAATATAACACCACCACCACCACCACCAACAGTAGAAGGCCGGTTCTCTTCTCTCTCTCTCTCTACAAATAATCCTCCCCAAAGAACTTGGTCTCTTCCTCTTTCGCTCCCTCTACAATTGTCACACTATAGCATATATAGAGTTTTTTTTTTAATACATAGTTGATTAGTTATTGGTAAAGGCAGGAACAGTTTCAGGCAGAGAAAAGAGAAGATCTTTATCATTTGAGTTTGTATGGAACAGCTTGTCAACTTCATTATACGACCTCCCAGGTAACACAGATACGTGCCACTTTCAATCCCTATGATTGTGTATTCACTCTCTGTGTCTGCACACATACATCTTTATATTGTTTTGGTAAGGGCTAGATTTTGTTTCGTAAATTTTGAGTTGGGTGTGTTGTATTTTGTTCTGGGGTTTGATCTTTTATGCTCAAGATTTGATATTTATCATCTTTTCTTGGTGGGTACTTTGAATTTAACTTACATGTAATCTATTCGTCTTGGTTCCTTGTGTTATTGATTCGATGCCCTTTTCGGTTATATCCAAAAAATTATTCTTCTGTGGAATTTGCTGGGTTGCAAGTTATTCGCTGTCTCTTTATGATTAGTTGAATTTCGAAGTTCTTTATAGTTACCTCTTTTTCGTTATCTATGGTGGTTGGTGGGTGGAATCTGTAATTTCCATACGCTTCTCAAATTTTTATCGTTTTCAGTTTTTGTATTTTGTGATGAAGAATGGAATTTTATACCTGCTTTGATGAGTTTGACATTTGCGGCTCGTTGTTTTATATGTATTTATACATAAGGTTGTTATAGGGTTTCCTCGATAGGGATACCAGTCTTTCTGGAATTTTAGTTCTGTAACACTTGGTCTATGATATTGACGGACTATCTTATTTGAGTATTTTGTATAAGATTGAAGGGGTATGAAGTATAAACTGTGCCATTCTTCTTATTTAATGGGCATTGGACCTTTTATATGCAATATCTTTCTTGCACGATTAGTTATAATGTAGCTGATAACAGGAAAGCAGTTTAGACTTTAGAGCAACATTAAACTGTTTACTTAAACTCTCAATTTCTGGAGAAAACCATAATCATTGAAGTGTTTTCTTGATATCGAGGAATTGATCTATTTGGGTGATTTTATCTACTTCCGAAGCCCGAGTGTATATATATTCATCCAGAAAATGGAACCATGTCAGTTAAATAGTTCATTTAAAATGATAGGTCCCATAAACTTGATGTTGGCTAAAATATATCTTGTTTTTATATGCTGATATTGATGGTATTCTTTTGAGGAGAAAAAATTTCATTACATAACAATGGAAATACATTGTAGAAAGATACACACCTGGTCTCCCAGGGTCATTTCTAATTAGTTTTTTAATCTTCTGTGGAAATTGGCATTGATGTTAAATATTGTTGAAGTGGTCCTAGTGTTCACAAAGAAAATGTATTTATATCCATCTCAAGGAAGGTAGTATGTAGCGCTTTATTTGATCTTGGTTACAAATGTAGATAACTCCTTTAACCTAGTAATTTTAGCTATCTATGCTTAAATCTAACCTGAGAGATTATGATTTTTATCCTTTTCTGGGGTGCAGAGCTGAATACAACCCAAAAAATGATTTGTTAGATCAAGAATTCATGCTTAAAGGGAAATGGTTTCAAAGGAAGGATTTGGAGGTAAGTCATTAGTACTACATTGAAACTTACTTTCTTTGTAACTTGACTTCCTAAGATATGAGCCTCTGTTTTGGTTGTTTGTCTTAAAAATTCTTAAATTACTTGAAACATATTTTGTTCAACACATAGCCAGTTGGTGCTCAGGATCTGGATGATAGCCAACTGATAGTTCTTGACCTGAACCATATATGGAAAATTCTTGAAAAAGAGGGAAAATTAGATTGAATGAATAAGCAAAGAGTTTGTCCCTGTTCGTATTGGTGGAGTGGTGTATAAATCTTGGTGAAGCAGGTAAAAAATGGAAGGGTCCCAATTCCTGCATATTAAGTTGAAATATACGATTTTGTTCTAATATTAAATATTAATCTTCGCAAAGGTCTTCGTTCTTGTCACAAATGTATTTTTTGGGGCGAAAAATGGGTCATGGATAACTCTGGTTTTTGTGGTACATTAGTTTAGAGTTTAAAATGCTCTTAAATATACTGTTGAATTTTAATAGATTGGGTTAACAATAAGTCTTTTATTTTCAAAATTTGTGCATGATGTACAGAAATCTATTTTTATTGAACTACTTGATTATCAGAAATGAAGACGCATTATTTGATGAAAATTTCTAATGGTGATTCTTTCATTTGTGTGGCGGCAATCTTGTTGGTATATATTGTTATTTTCTTCCTGGGGACTATTATTTTCCCTTATCCTTGATTGAATAAAGTTTTCTTCCTTCATGTTTGGACTTGGGAAATGTATCCAATTTTGGCATTGAAGTTAAAGACGTTTACATATTCTGCAGATTGTAAATAGTCGAGGAGATGTTCTTCAGTGTAGCCACTACATGCCAATTGTCCTACCCGAAGGGAAATCTCTACCCTGTGTAATATACTGCCATGGAAACAGGTTAGTTAATAGATATTTAATTATAAAACATGTTTTCAAGTTTGGATGCTCTGCTAGTGTTTTAGTAGACATTTCAAAAGGTAATGATGTATGGTAAGGTCGCTATTAACGAATGGTGTTTTAAAGGATAGAACTAGGTCCCCCTTTCCTTGTACTGAAAGTGTTATGTTCTAAGGCTAGTTAATCTAATCTTTCTATTCCAGGACAGCCTAGGGCTAGCCGCCAAAAAGCAGGATGAAGTTCTCGAGACGATTTGAGTGTAGCCCAACCTCTAGCCTTCAATTGAGCCATCAAATCGTCCTACCTTCGTTGAATCTCTTTAAGAAAGATTGTATATACGTCCAATCTCTAGTGGTGGTGGGACCAACCAAGATGTATGTCGTCCAACCCCACCTCAGACTCTTTCTTCCCGACCAGAAAGTAGAACTTGGGTTACCCTGGGTAAAGCGTAGCTATTCAGACTTTTATCCGCATAGACAAAATGCATGTAACTATGTAGGTGATAGCCATGATACCAACTTACCAAGTTTGAAAATGAAATTATATATGTGCTTCATTTGTGTAGTAGCGAATAGCGCAAGACTGAAGATTTATTTTTCTGTTTTGTCTCTCTATTTTTTGGCTGGCCTGGCCACCTTCACCTCTCTATTATGTATTGTCTATTTACCCATTATTTTCTACAATCTACACTATTTTATGGAGAATCAACTTAGGTGGTAAACATACGACCTTCTATGATACTAGTGAGAAAGATTGATATGATAACTGTTGACGGTAATCTAAAGGTAAAGGGTAGGGCTCCATCCCATAAATATCCATTCCTACTCCATTAAAATTTTTATTATCAAACTACTAAGGCCACCTTTTTTATATTCACTCCATTAGTAACTAAGTCCACCCCATGCTATATACACCGCTTTAATAAGTAAATCTCCCTTATATTTTCTCACAATTAGGGTTTCATCCACTATGTTCTCTTTGTGAATGATGTATACCTAGTGACGTACTCAATTCTTACTTTGGGTGTCTTTGAGCTTTGCAGTTTCTCAATGCTATTACTAAGTTGTTGTTGTTGTCGCCTGGATATAGAGGTCTAATGGAATCTATAAAGGGTTATTGGAACCAATTTAATTCACCTCAATACTAGCTTTGATTTTCTTTTCTTTCTGGGGGGCTTTCTCGAGGACGAGGAACCGTAATACCACCGGTGAGATTATCAATTTTCAAATAATGGGAGCACACTATTTGGCACATACATGGAAAAAGAATCCTAGAAAGATGATGTGGAGAATGAGGAAGATCATCCCTTTTATGAGAGTGAAATGTGGACGATATCTATTTTTTGTGACAAAAGAAAGGAGGCCTAGTTGGAGAAAGCTTTTCTTATTGGCACTTGTTAATGTACTTGTATATATTTTGATAATGTCTAGAAGACAGTCAATATAGAATGTTTAATGAGATGGTTATTTCCAACTCCATTTGTTTGATTGTTTCTCTCACAAAGCAAAGATTTAACATTTTTGTTTATCAAAATGTACCTTTAGGGTTTGAAAATGTGCTCTGTGGGTGCATGGGGTGAACTTCATTACCAATAGTTTGACTATAGAAGAGGTGGAGTTAGTAGTTTGATAATAAAAATTTTAATGGGGTGGGAATGAATATTTGTGGGGTGGAAATAGCCCCACCTCGATAAGAAAAGACCAAAATTAATAGAGGACAATGATGAAACATAATTCATGTAGCCGACGTGAAAAAATGTTGGGACAAAACTTTGGTGAAATGAGTTGAATAAAGTAGTAGAAGCATCAAGTGAAGTCATGCATAATATAAAAATATATGCATGATTATATTGCCCTGATGAAATACATTGTTGGAAAGAAGTAGCTCCTGTTAAAACCATGAAGTACTGGGTCCTTGCGATAGTTCTTGATGGTAAATGCTAAGTGTTTTTATTCTTACATTTGTTTGTTATATAACTGTGTCCTGGTCTCTACTATACAGAAAACACCTTCACGCTTGCTTCAGTTGCCCATTGTTCTTGTACTAAAGATTATGTGTAGAATTAGTAAATTGAGAATGTTTATTTGACATACTGTGAGAGAGTTTACAGGACAATGTGTCAATGCCAACTGTTTAGGTCTGAATTCGGTATTCACTCCATTTTATGCGGCAGCCTGCATTGGTTGGACCTGTGGCTTGTTCTTCTACTCTTTTTGTTTAAAGAAATACTGTACAGACTTGGCATAGTTGATCATCTCATGCCATTTAATGAGTAAATTCACATAGTCTNCGGTTGAACCTGTGGCTTGTTCTTCTACTCTTTTTGTTTAAAGAAATACTGTACAGACTTGGCANTGGTTGGACCTGTGGCTTGTTCTTCTACTCTTTTTGTTTAAAGAAATACTGTACAGACTTGGCATAGTTGATCATCTCATGCCATTTAATGAGTAAATTCACATAGTCTCATATTCTTGTGGCCAGAACCAGCATAAGGAATGGTAAAGAAAAGGAAATGAAGAAAGAGCATCCAAGTGTAGACTGGAAAGTCTTCCCCCCCCCC